CAAAAAAACCTAAAACAACAACAACAACAACAAAAACAAAAACCCAAAGTAACTTGTAGCTTCACTGTTTTTTCTCTTGTTTTTCTAGTCTCTATTTATACTCTGATCTGTATTATATTTCCTTCCTTTGCTGACATTGACTTAGCTCACACTTTTCCTAATTCTTTGAGCAGTTTGTCATGACCTGATGATTTAAAAAAAATTTTTTTTTTAACAATACGTGGCTTTTTGTAGAGTATCTCAAAACATGGCAGCTTGCTTTATTAGAATAAGCAAGTGGGAAGCATGAGAGAAAATGCCAGCAAGTTGGAGGTCAGTTTTGAACCTAATCATAGAAATGGCATCTCATCATTTTTGCCGTATCCCTTGACAGTTACGTACGGCCAGCATCTACTCAGGGGAGGGGAATAAAAAGTGCAAGGATACCAGGAAGTAGAGATGTTGGAACCCATGCCAGAAGCTGCATAACATTAGTAACAAAATTAAACATAGAAATAGCAATGATCCAGCAGTCCCACTTCTAGATTTATGTATATCCCAAAGGAGTAAAATCAGGATCTTGCTCATTGTAGTAGTATTAGCAATAGCCAAGATTTGAGAACAACTTAAATGTTCACCAGTAAACAGATAAAGAAGTACAATATGATTCAGTGTTAAGGAAGGGAATACTGCCATTTGCAACATGCATGAATCTAGAAGACATTATTGTAAGGAAAGTCAGCTAGACCCCGAGATACAAATATAGCTTGATCCCACTTTTATGTGAGTCTAAAAGTCTCATTCACAGAAGCTGGGAGTGGAATGATATTTGCTGAAGGTGGAGTGTGAGTGAAGGAAATGGAGAAATACGTCAGAAGGTATTTTCAGTTATGTAGGATAAGTATAGAGGTTTAATATGCAACATGGTGACTACTGTTAATACTGTATTATGTACATGTTCTAAATAGACTTACCATACTCAAAAAATGATAACTAAGAGAGGTGATGAGTATGTTTATTAGCGTCACTGTAGTAATTATTTTACAATGTATATGTGTATGAAACCATCAAATTATGTTTTAGTAAAGCTGTTATTTAAGAAAAAGAAAACAAAACAGAATCTTCTGGATTATTAAATATATTAGGTGTGATGGTAAAGTTTCTGATGTCTACATAATTTTAGATTTTCTTTTCAGTACTTGGCACTTAAACTGCTTTAGTTTTGATGGGCTGCTATTAAACACAGCTTTCATTTCTCAAATGTACTCATCATTCAACTCCTTGAATTTAACTGGAAGAAGAACTACTTATTCATGACTATTCTTCTGCAGATAGCAAACTATTTGAAGGTAGATTCAACGTACACAACCTGAATGTAATTGTGTCTCTAACTCCTACATAATATTGTAACTGGAACAAATTCATGCATGCTTCTTGAATGAATATGTGAAATTGGGCCTAAAGATTACAAGACATTGCTGGAAATGGAGATTTGCCTAATTTTCTTACAAGTATTTGTGTGATCACCATTTAATAATTTACTTCATCTCAGTGTTCTTTTTAGATTAAAACTTTTGTATAGAAACAAAATTCTATCTAAATCTGTTTTATTTTTTCATAACTGATGCATGACTTGATTTAACAATTTTGTTTGAAATTTGTTTACTCTGAGATCGCAAGAATGATCTTACATAGCAGTGTACATAGTAGTAAACATAAATATTTTCCCAATTATATCAGGAATAACTTTCATGAGTTATGGAAACTATGTCATTATTAAGAAAAAGGATACAGATTTATTTGTTATGGAATACTGTTTATGATATGTGAACTCTAAAAATAATGAAGTTTCATATATAAATTTAGCTATTTTTAGGAAAAGAAGTGAAATAGGTATTTGTGTAATAATGCATAAAACATTTTGTGGAAGTATACAATGCGATAAATGTGTTTATCTCAATGGATTATATTAATAGATTATTTTTACTTCTATATCAGTGTATATTTTTAAATTATACTTTATGGCAAAATTTACGTAACATAATTTTCCCATCTTAACCAATTTTAATTATGTAGTTCGTAGTGTTAAGTGTATTCATATTTGTAATGCAACTAATGTTTAGAACTCTTTTCATTTTACTGAACTGAATTTCAGTAAGTAGCAGCTCTCCATTTCCCTCTTTTTCCTAGTCCCTGGCAACCACCATTCTATTTTATTTTTTATTTTAGTTTATTCATACATATATGTAGTTTCCAATGTCTACATTCCATGTGGAAAGTTGGTTCATGTACATAACACATCCTAATTCCTTTTTTCATCACTTTTTCCTTCCTTCTCTTCTCCCTCTACCTGTCTTTTGTTTCCCTTCCTCTTTGATATGATCTCCCTATTCCTGTTATCTTTTATGTGTGTGTCTGATTTATTTCAGTTAACATTATGGCTGAAGATGCATACATTTTTCTACTAATGACTCAAGTTTATCCTTCTTTACAGCACAGTAGTACTCCATTGTGTGTGAATACCACATTTTTTTAATCTGTTCATCTGTTGAAGGACATGTGGGCTGCTTCCAGGATTTAGCTTTTTTGAGTTGTGCTGCTATAAACATGGATGTGCGTGTCTCACTGTAAAATGAAGTCTTTAAGTCTTTTGGGAAGGTATCTAAGTATCTAGAAGAGGAATAGCTGGGTCGAATGGAATCTCTATTTTTAGAGTTTGAGGAATCTCCATAGTGGTTGTACTCATTTACATTCTTGCTGACAGTGTGGTTTGTTTTTCTTTTGCAGCCTCTCTAGCATGTTATTATTTGATTTCTTGATGATAGGCTTTCTTTCTGGGGTAAGATGGAATCTCAGGTTGTTTTAATTTGCATTCTTGAATGGCCAGGATTGTGAAGCATTTTTTCAGTTATTTGTTGGCCGTTTGTAATTCTTTTGTGACGTGTCTATTCATTTCCCTTGCCCACTCAACTTTATATCTTTATGAATTTGACTTCTCTAAGTACCTCATGCAAGTGAAATGACATTTGTCTTTTTGTAATTGGTAATGTCCTGAAGGTTTATTCATGTTGTAGCATGTGTCAGAACTTTTCTTTTTTAAGGTTGAATAGTACTCCACTATGTATGCATATTTATGTGTATATATATGTATACATACACACCACATTTTGCTTATCCATTCATTCATCAGTGGACACTAAGGTAATTTCTGTCTTTTGGCTGTTGAATAATGGCTATTATTATTGTGAACAATGCTGCTACAAATATGGGTGCATGAATAGCACTTTGAGACTCTTCTTTCAGATATTTTGGCTTTAAACCTAGAAAATGAGTTGCTGAATCCCATGACACTTATATTTTTAATTGTTTTGAGGTGCAGCCATCTGTTTTTCAGACCCTTTCACCATCTTCCTTGCCTGTCAACAGCACTCCAACCTTCTGATTCTCTAGCTCCTCTCCCACACTTACTTTCTATTTTTTGATACAGCTGTTCTAATGATATATGTGAGGTGGTTCTGTATTATTTATTTTTAAGTGTTGCTATAAATCTTTATAATTAATGGACAACAGAAATATTTTCATTTTGTAAAAATGAATGCTCAACTTTAATATTGTTTCTGTTATAGCAGGTACTATATTTATTTTGGATGCAGTAGTAATTTGTGGTGGTATTAGGGTTGACTAGGAGCTTTTTGCTGAAGAGTAGAGTTTTAGTAAAGCACTGTGAATGTTATGGCAGACATATCTCGTTCTTTTAAAGTTTTCCACTAGAAAAACTGTTCTTCATTAGAAATTAAATTCACAAGACCTAACAGTCTTAGTAAATATAAACTGCTAATTTTTTGATAGAACACTTTTACTTCAGCATTTATTGACTAATTAAAATTGAATTTAGCTGTTTTTAAAAGAAAACAATTTGATTGGGCTATTCTGTACCATGAACTTAATCTACTTTAAGTGTGTAGTGATTTTTAGTAAATTTACTGAGCTGTATAACAATCACATCAACCAGTTCAGAAAATTCTCATTAGAGTAAGGTTCTTCATTGCCAGGTCTTTTTTTATTTCTTTGTAAAACAGGGAATTGGTGGCAAAAAATTGGTTTATAATGCTGGTGTGGTGGCCCACGCCTGTAATCCCAGCACTCAGGAGGCTGAGGCAGGAGCGTTGCTGCAAATTTGAGGACAGCCTGGAGTAAATAATGAGTTCAAGGCCAGCCTGAATTATGCAGGAAGACCCTGTCTCAAAAAGAAAAAGAAATTGAAAAGTTTTGTTTATAATAGAGCTGCATTCATTGTTTAAATGAATGTGAGATATCTTCTATTCATTGTACCCTCTCACACCAAACATACGCATCTTTGAATAGTATAAATGTTATTTAGAGGCTATGTAGTTATGTATGTGAGATGTGTTAGAACTTGGGTAACTTTTGGTAAACACAGTCTGTGTCAAGGAGAAACATTCTTTCACATTTCAAATGTAGTTCAGCTTGAACTTATTTTTGATATTTTATAGTTCCTTTATTTTTAGTAGATCATCATTGAAAAGACTGACAAACTAGTGAAAAGCCCCTTTAATTACTTGCCACAGATAAACATCAATCCTTCCTGAGCGGGCCATACCAAGGATTATAGTAATGAAAACACTAAGTGAATAGAACAGTTTGTCACTGGATAATAAATACAGTTCTTGGCAACATTGGTGTTTTCCTCTTAAATCACCAGAGGGCACTCTTCTCTAGTATATTATTTTTATCTGAGTAATTGAATAATTGTATTGTAGTTTGGAAAACTTGTGGCCTGATATTGATTTCCAGGTGTGGATTACTCAAAAAGCAATGATTGCTTTCTTTTGTGACTTTGATTTTTATGTCTGATGTTTCACGATAGTGTCATTAGAGAGGGCACTACAAATATGTGCCAATTAAATACTTTAGGCTGTAGTGTTTCTGAATAAAATAGTGAGCTAATTTAGTCTCTTACGAGCTTTATCATGTCACTGTTTGTCTTTATTTGTATTGAGGTTTCAGATCGGGTGGAGCGGAGGCTACAGGAAATAGAGAGAGAGATGCGCACAGAAAGACAGCTGGTGGAAAGACGCCAGGACCAACTGGGACTGATGTCCTTACAGCTCCAGGAGGTTTGTAAGAAGCACTTTCTTGGAATATAAATCTTGAATTTGGATCATTACTTAACCGTTGTTTAAACGTTGTAATTCCTTAGTTGTTGCACCTGACAGTGTAATTTAACCTATGTAAGAGGTAGTATAGAATATTGTTAAGTTGATTGTATAGAATCAGACCTACCTTGTTTCATACTTGTCGTCTTTGTGACCCTGGCCAACTTTTTAAACTTTAGGTCCTAGTTTCCTCTGTGGAAAGTGGCAATAATGTATATGTAACCAGAATAGTGCAATCATAAATGAGTTAATGCTGGTCATTCCCTTAACATAGAGTCTGACATCTGTTCGTAGAACATTGATAATTAAATTACTCTGCTGAATTATTTTTGGGCATGGACTAAACTGACAGCAGGTGGGTGGGGAGATCATCAAACTGTCTTGCAGGCCTAATCTGACTCACTATTTTGGTAATTATAGTTTTATTTGACAACCGCCTTTCCTTTTCATTTGTGTATTATCCCTGGGTAACATGACACAGTGGCAGTGATGAGTAGTTAGGACAGGGAATGTGTGGCCCATAGCCTAAAGTATTAACAGTCTTGCCCTTTGCAGAAGAATTGTGCCAATCCCTGAATTAATTTATCATTAAACTAAACATGGAGAATGTTACCCTTCTGTTAGGTACTATTTTTTTTTTTTAATTTCAGATTTATGATAAAATTAGAACAATTTATTGTTAAAATTAGATAAATTTTTTTGAGACACTTTTGATAAAGTTGCATATGTACATTCACATTTAAGTAATTTGTTATATAGATTTTCTTCCCTACTCAGAGTATAATAATCAAAATCAGGAAGTCAGCATCAGTATGGTAGTATGATTTAATCTACAGGTTATGCAAATTTTGTCAGTACTCTCTTTTGGTCCAGGATAAATATCCAGATTTAGATGTGGCATTTGATTATGTCTCTTCAATCTCCTTTAACCTGGAACAGTTTTTTAGTTTTCATTTGTGATGACTTTGGATCCTAGCAATTCATTTTGTAGGATGTGTTTCATATTGGGTTTATTGATGTTTCTTTAAACTAGATTCAGATCAGAAACTTTTGGCAGGAGACCAAGATAACTGTTGTTCGATCCTTTCCAAAGTTTCATATCAGAAGTCATGTAATGTTGATTTGTCACATTACTGGTGAAACTTGAACATTTGGTTATAGTATTGGCTGCCAGGTTTCTCTACTATTAAGTTACTATTATTCTTTTAAATTTTTGTTTTATGAAGAGACTTTTTGAGACTTGAAAGTAGTTTTGTTTTGAAATCATCACCTATTACTTTTAAGATCTGTTTTGATTTTACCTAAACAATTATTACTGTAAGTGAAACCAAATACTGATTTAAAAAATCTATTTTCTCTTCTACATTTATGGACTTTTACTGTAAAGAAGAACTTAATATTGGTGTAGACCCATACATTCTAACTACATTGGTTATATTTCATTATTTTCATTTTAGAAAATTAATTTGTTGAAATTTCCTTTGTTTCTTGGACCTATAAATAAAGTATAAAAATTAGAAACAAAAAGAAAACCAAAAGATTAAATACAACTGAAAAAAATTTTCTCTTTTAAATAGTTTTTTTTCTAAAATTTCAAAAAATATAGTAATGTGCACTTTCAGATCATTAACTTTTTTCAGTTGATGATTTTTTTAAATATTAGGAGACACTGCCAGTTCAAAATTAGAAACAAAAATTACAATCCTGAAATTACAATGTTAGTTGAAAGAAAAATCTGTTTTTGATTTTTAAATTCCATTTTTCTCCATTTCACAAAAGGAGGCATACCCTTATTAGTTGGTAATTACTTACAAGAGGATATTTTGTGGAATAATTAGATACAGCATGTGGGTAGCCTTTTTTTTTTAACCTTGATTTTTATACTTTTGTTCTGAAAGCACATTGCATCTGGTGAGCATAAGAATAGTACTGAAGAGACAATTGTTCTTTTTTGCAAGAGAAAATTAGAGAGATTTTCTGTACTTATTTTTTTCTCTTCGCAGAATGCACAAAATTACAAAGAAAGAGGGAAGGAAGGTTGCTTCCCACCCCAATTCTTGAGAAACCAGTGCCTCAGTATTTGCATTGCAATTGTCAATTTGACTAAAAAAGCTATGATTTGGAATTCCATCTCTGACATTATGAGAGGATGGTCGTTGATGAGAAATGTTTAATTTCATATTTTGTCACTTTAATATAAGCAGTGACCTATATGTTTTTAAAAGGTGGTTTTGGATTATAAACAATGCAGTGGAAAATGGAAAAGATTAATTTAAGTATTTTCCTGCTTCCAAGTTAAATGGCTTATCTGAAAATGTCATGTTTAAGGAGAGGATGCTTTGTTTTCTTTTTCATATTAAAAATACTATGGAAATTCTTATACTATATGATAATACATGTTTTGCTTCTTGCTGTGGTGAGAAATTGAATTCATAGGTAAGTAAGTAGGTGTGGCCTTCTAGGCGCTATGATCTTCTGCCTCCTCAAAATATACATTTCAATGTTAGTGAAAACTATGACACATGAAGATTATTAAGAATTGGGAGAATTCATTAAAAATGCCACCATGTCAAAGCTTTCTAGGTGTAATGTACCTGCTGATTTTTAGTGATCTGAAGAAGTTCTTAGATCCATTTTGTCTGTTGCTATTTAATGAAAAACAGTGTTAATCATTGGAAACTGGACAAGAGAAAGCCACTCTCCTGTTCAAAAGTTTTTAAGGAATTGTTCACTTTTTCTGTTGCTTTTCTCTTGGTCTGAATACTAAATGTGAGGGCCTTGGGTGCTGTGGAATCCACTTCTACAACCTTACTGGATTTTAACTTAGTAAAGATCTTCACTAGCCATCAGATCTTATATATCATATTTTAAATACCCTGTTTTATAGAGATGCCTTCTATAGGGAGATTTTTTTATATAGGTTGTAGAATAATACTCTTTTCAAATACCTCTTTAATTTGACGTGATCATCCCAGTACTTTAAACTTCTAAAAATCAAATTTAAATGTCAGTTTTTCTTTGTTGAATCATTATGGAAGCAGAATTTCCCTAACATTGGGATATGTTTGTATATTACAAGCTCCTTCTTATCAAATATGCCCTAGTGATCCAACTTGATGAGCAATATTTAGTGGAGTGGGGCTGGACCTGGTAGGTGCTAGGCTTGGGAAGGAAATAATTATATTATAAGCATATACCCCTCCATAAGTAAAATAAATCAGTCCCACATGTGTAAACATAGTATCTCCCTAGTGTAAGAACCTGAAAGAGTAAATAAAATCCAAAAGGTACAACAGATATTGTGAAAGGAAAAGAAATTGCTCAAAGGGAAGGAATAACTGGAATGAAGGAAGGGAGAAAAAAAAAGAAATAAGGAAGGGAGAAATGTATATGAGTATAGGAGACCTGGGATAATTGTACTGCTGATGTCTAATGGTTTATTGAAAGGAACAGTTAATGCTTAGTTTTTGATCAATTTTTTTGCTTCTGTCTGATAATCTGAACTAAATTGAAGACAACATTATACAATGTAACAACCATTGGTGAATTCCTACCATCTGTTTAGTAAAGCTCTGTATCATTTCTAAAGTTTTTTTAAAAAATTTTTAAATTCTCTTTGATGACTTGATCAATCTCACATTATTACATCTAGTAATCTGATCAACTTTGTTGAAGATACGAATATGTAACATAACAACCACTGTTAATTCCTATCATTTTGTTTTGAAACCCTGTAGCATTTTTATTGTTTTTGCTTTGTTTTGTTTTTGTCTATGTTGTTGTTAGTTATTTTTTTATTCTCTTTGAAATTAAAAAAATAAAATAAAACACCAGCCCATAAAAAACATGTGCAAAGTACAGAGGACACACTTTGTTTTCCTGTTCTTTGGAATCTAGCTGTAGAATTCAGTCCTTTCTGTGGACTGAGTGACCCCACAAGACATGGTAGGCAGATTCTAGCATAGAGAGTGTAACAGCCCTCTGACTACCAAAGGGCTTGAAAGCACTTAGTATTGCAACGGGACAGCTGCAGCCACATATGTACCACTACTATACTTCATGGGGAAATGTGGTGTAGCAAATGAATCTACTCTAGTATTCCTTCTTTGTGGTGTGAAGTATAAATCTGCACTTTTTTTTTTATTTTTACTTTTGGCACTGGGAATTGAACTCAGGACCTCATGCCTGCCGGGCAAATGATGTGCCACTGAGCTATATCCCCGGCCCTGCACTTTATTTTTAATCAGATTTTTTTATTCTTTTTTGCATTATGATTTCATTTATATAAAATTCAAAATCAGTAAAAACTCATCTGTAGTGTATATATGCATATATATGTGTATATATGTATGTATGTATGTATACATATGTATAAATTACCTACTTCTCGGAAGGGATAGTAGTGCCTGGAACATTTCAAGAGTGTTCTACTTCTTTTTTACTTGCTTTTTACCATGCTAGGAATTGAACTCAGGGAGCACTAACCTACATTGCTATCCCTTTTTATTTTTTATTTATTTAATAAAAACTGGTGTAAAATTTCAAAATAAGATTATAGGAGAGTAACAACAGTTAGTAATGGTGTATTGTTATCTTCAATGTAGTTGCTCATATAACAAGATCTAGGCATGAAAAAGTGGTCAAACAATGCCGGCATAAACCTTGTTTTCAATGAACTAATAGCAATTAGTAGTATAACTATCTTATCCATATATATATATTTTTTTTCTTTAATTTTTCCTTTCCCTTCCTTCTTTTCTCCTTTTCCCCATTCCAGTTTCTCTTTCCTTTTGAACAATTTCTTCTCATTTCACAGTATCTGTTGTACATTTTGGATCATATTTACTCTTTCAGCTTCTTACACTAGGGAGACAAAGCTTTATTACACATGCGAGACTGATTTATTTCACTTATGAGTATGGTTTCAAGTTGCATCTATTTCCCTTTAATGTCTCAAATTT